GGTTATCTATTTTCTTGTTGAATTGAGTTCTTTATAGATCTTAAATATGAGCCTCTTATCAGATATATGAAGATGTTCCAGCATATTTGACAAGGCATAACTCAGGTATTCCTGGGTCTTCTGGCCAAATACCATTGAAGCAGGGCTATATGGGTACTGTTGCTATCCAAGGACAGTATCCAATAGAGCAAAGATCACTGTCTGAGTTCTTCATCTGCACGCACAATTGCAAGACCACTCAGGTTCAGGGAACAATAATGGGGTTTATTTAACAAGCAGGGAAACAAAGAGTTACTAAGCCCTTAAATGGCCAGCTGTCTCACTACCAGCTGTAGACACCACAGGGTGTCTACAGTGTTTAGAAGGCTGCCCTTCCAAGATGGTGCCATCCTCCAATAAGGGCCAGAAGCATGTGGCAACTGAAAGTAACAGGCCAGGATCCAACAGGCAGGCTCAGTGAGATGACAAAACAGCAGCCCTCAGTGACAGTCTGAAGATCAGGACGAACAGTATCGAACGCTGGAACAGACAACAGCAGCAAACACAGGAGGCCATGGCAGATGATCCAAACAGCTCTTGGTGAACCCTTGGCTGACTCCAACAGCAGGTCAGCAGACACCAGGCCCGGGCCCTTGGTAGTCTCTCCAGGCAACAACAGCGACAAGACCAGAGGTAGGCTCAGCCACCTGGTCTCTGTAAAACTCCTTGGCTTCTCTCTCTTCAGAAGTGCCACAAGTCTAGTCTGGGCCTCAGTGTATAGGATCCTGGTGAAATGCTCCTGTGCTCCCTTAAATTCACTTCTAGGGTCTTCCCCTCCCCCTCCCATCCCTCTTGACTGGACAATTAACCTGACTGGTGCCTGAGGGAGGGACTGCCCACAGGCAGCAGCTTTTGGTGAAGGCAGGTAAACCCACCACATTTTTCTAACAGCTACAGCTGTTTAAGAGGCAATGAGAAAAACACGTTTTACCCTGCAGTTTACACTGCAAGGCCCAGTAACACCCTCATAATCCCACCTATAAATGCTTCAGAGCTTGTGCTGTTTTAGGGAAGGGAAGAATTAAATATAATTCTATTGCATCCTCTTATTCAATGAAGTAGTGTGTTTGTAAAGAGACACATATATTGCTGATAGAACTATACATTAATACTGTAACAGGGTGGTCTCCAGGACAGGGGGAGTTTCCAAGTTCCCTGCCCCACCCAAAGGAGGGTGGAGCTGAGCAGAGAGAGAAGAAGCGGCAGAGGAAGGAAGGAAGGAAGGAGGATGGAGCCAGAAGGAGACCTGGAGGAGGCACATGGAGAGGAGAAACGTGAAGAAACTGCGCTTGTCTTTTGATCGTGGACTGCTTGACACAGATGTGGGTGAGAGACCTGTGGGGAGGTAACAGTGGGGGTTTTTGTCTTGATTTTGATTTTGCTCTTTTCCTTCCAGACTTGACTGGCTGTTTCTGATCCTTTTCTGTGGGTCCCCACTGGAAGGTGCTTTAGACTTGGGGCAGGTTTTGGGGCCTTACTCTGGGCCATTCCCGCTTGGGTGGACTTTTACCCACAAGGGGATGAGTAAATTTGGGTGCTTGATTTAGAAGCTAGATTCTTTGCCTTTCCTGTATTGTTTCCTAATAGTATTAAAGTTCCTTCCCATGAAAGTCTCATATGTTTTGTGTTCATGTGGCTGATGGCAGAACCCATTTAGAGTAGGCAGGTTTGTGGGGTCTGGGCTGCCCCTCTCCCTGCCCTGTAACAATATCACCTCTGTGAAGGTAATTTTGTAGTTTCTTTCTGTATTAATAAAGTATATACACTTGGACTCAGAAACTCCTCCCTTTGGATTTTATCCTCCTGATGTTCTTGTTTATTGCAATGTCTATATAAGACACTAGTTTTTTTTTTAAAGATTTATTTTTATTTATGCAAGAACGGGGGTACAGGCCAGATGTGTGGGAAGGTGAGAAGATTCACCAGAGACAGAGCAGGGAACAGAACAGGCAGAATGATGAAATACACTGCTGAAGGGAGCAGCGGGCGAGACAGGAGAGGTCTGCACGCCATGTGGGTTGCTCCAAGGCCAGCACTGCTCTAGAGGCTGCGGACAGCTTCACAGGGCTGCGCTCAACTGCCTGCACAACCAGGGAGGCCCCTAAGACACTAGTTATAATAACCAAAGGTTCCCAATAACCTAACTACCCATCAATAGGCTAACAAAACACCTGCCACACAGGATCACCTAGAAGATAAAGTATGTCTGGCACTCAGCACAGCAATAGCACATAACGAGCACTCAATGAATGATTACCACTCTCATTTGAATTATTATGATTCATAGCACCAAAAATTTCTAGCTTCAAGCCCAGTGTGTCGTAGGACCAGATGCCACCTACTCTCAACTGGGTGCTCCCACTCACTGGCCACAAAAACAGGGAAGAGCTTTACTTTCCTTATTCCCAAGTCCTTTTCCCAGAACTGAAAACTGCATTCCTCCTTTTGATTCACAACTTCCACTGCAAGCGGCTACCCCACTCACCTGGGACAGATAGGACTTAAAATTCAAGACTGTTGGGCCTCCCCAGGTGGCGCAGGCAGTTGAGCGCCACGCTGTAAAGTTGTCCAGCTGTCCGCAGCCTCTGCAGCTGTCCAGCTGTCCGCAACCTCTGCAGTGCCGGTTCGATCCCCGCTGGCGGCGGGGGTCCCACATGGCGCGCAAACCTCTCCTGTCACGCCTCTCCCTCAGCAGTGTATTTCATCAGTCTGCTTGTTCTGTTTCCCACTCTGTCTCTGGTGAATTCTCTCACCCTCCCGTGCATCTGGACTGTACCCCGGTTCTTGTATAAATAAATAAATAAATAAATACTCTTTTTTAAAAAATGAATAAATAATTTTTTTTTTTAAAAAAATTCAAGACTGTTTCCAGACTGGGCAAGGTAAAGGGGGTGGAGGTTTTGTTGGGTTCCAAAGAAATTGATGAAGGCACATCTCAAGTTTCCCCCTGTACTGGGACTTAGTGGGAAAGATACTGATGGTAAGTGACTAGAAGAGAAAATTAAAGGGCAGGGGAATGAAATGATGTTGGGGGTTAGGAGGGGATAAATAAAAAGAACTAGAACTCTAAGACAAACAAAAATATGAATATCTGTGGTAGCAGACAGACCACACTTGTAGAGATTTTTCTGTCTAGGCTGAATAGTCTTACTGTCAGGGAACATTTACCTGTGTCCCTGGCATAAGGCTTACCTGGGAGTTTACCCTGAGATAACAAATGTTGGTGACATTTAAAATCCTAACTTTTGCTGCATCTTCCTACACTAAATATCAAGATACCTGAGTTTTCATCCCAGCATTATCTGTATGATTTCAGGCCCGTTTCCCTATCTGTAAAGTAAGATTTCACTGTTATGTTACTTTAAAGATGCCGTCCAGGTTTAAGGTATTATGATTCTGTGGGTGTAATGATACTGAAGTTATCAGAGGATTTTTAACAGATTCTAACAATTCATCTTCTTTCATGAGGGGCTGCAGTTTCATAAGGTTGGGGGAATATAAGAATTATCATTCCCATTTTAGAAATAGAGGAAGGAGATTTGGTAGGGAGGAGGAGGGATCAGACCCACCTTTTCTCTCTCCCTAAATGCATATTTCACCCTCAGTGACACTGGAGAGATAAATAGCTGTGGGGCTAAAAGGTAGCAGCAGGGTGAGTCAAAGGTTTGTCTGCAAGAGAAAGTCCCTATAAGGCCCCACCCTACTTCCAACAACCTGCCAAGCAAGAGAAATACAAAACAGCAGAAGTTCTGGTTGACTTATTGCCAGTGCTGGAAAGTACCTGCTCTTCCTGGGAATGTGCAAATTTCACTTTCCTAGAAAAGGAACCTTCAAAGGTAAGTCCCGCCAGACAGCAGTGATGTGTACTGCTCTGGATTTTCAATATATAATGCTCAGGGAGGTCAGTGGAGGAAGGACATTTGTTTATTTATCCAACAGGCATTTATTTATTGTCTACTATGAACTTAGCTCTGCGCCAGGTGAAGGTATGACGCTTAATAAAATACATTGCCTTTCCAGGAGCTCCAGGAAAGGGCATTTTCTCTGACTGAGGAGATAAGCAAAGCTTCCAGGAGGACCTGAACCCTGAGTTAAGACTTGGAGAACTTGGGGTACATCAAGAAGGTGGTGCAGGGAATGGCAAGGGCATACCACATGCAAAGGAAGTCTGCAACAGGAAAGGGGGAGACAATCAGGTTGGAAAACCTGGAGTGCCCTCAGGGAGCCCTGGGCAGTAAGGGAGGATGCGCAATGGAAGGATTTTACAGAAGTGACACTAACCTCTGTGGCTTCTAGAAAGTGAAGAGACTTCACGAAGAGTGGCTAGAAATGGTGATCAACTCTGGCAATGAGAAAACCTGAAATTGTGAGTGACAACAATGGTACAAGAGAGAACATAATGGATTCAGAGGTACTCAACACTAAAAAGAAATGAATTTTATTTGATCTCATTATGAATTAGAGATTAGGGACACAAGACACAATGTAATTTATTGGTTGGGGTCATGAGCTCTGGGGTCAGGCCTGGATTCAAATTCGAAATCCACCACTCTGTGACCTTGACAGAGTTATTTAATCTTTTCCAAATTTGGTTTCCTGTCTATAAAATGGTTTTTAGTTTTCAAGATAAGGATTAAATGAGAAAATACAAACCTCCTTTGAGGTTTATATTTGAGGATCAGAATGAAGTAAGATAATAGATGAAAACACATAGTTCCTACTCATTAAGCACTGTAAGTAGTAATTATTATCAGTGTTTTAACACTATAAATTAGAGAACTACGAGCTTCCCTTCTATTCAAGTTTCCCCAAAAATATCAGACACCAGTGGAAATGGGGGAGAATACGAAAAAGGCAACTTCATGAATATTTGTCATTTTAGCTATTATGTATGTTAAACAATAGGCTACCTAGGAAAACAGTAGCCATGATTATTAAGGTAAAAAAATCACTTTCACTTTTCTTTTTTTTTTAGATTTATTTATACAAGAACTGGGGTACAGTCAGAGGCGTGGGAGGGTGGCAGAATTCACCAGAGACAGAGTGGGGAGCAGAACAGGCAGACGGACCAAAGACACTGCTGAGGGGAGCAGCAGGCGAGGCAAGAGAGGTCTGCCGCGCCATGTGAGTAGCTCCCTGGCCAGCCGGGAATCGAACTGCACTGCAGAGGCTGCGGACAGCTTCAAAGTGTGGTGCTCAACCCACGGTGCCACCAGGGAGGCCCACATTTTCACTTTTCTACATGAATGTGTACTATTTATATATTATGGAAAAAATATTTTAAAATATATTTCCCATACACTACTCAGGGCCAAGAAAAGCACGTGTCTCCAGGAACCCAGGTATTTGGACACAGACAGCACCAAGGCCCATCAGGAGGAAGCATACATGGTCTAGACAGCCAACCCAGCTCCAGGAACAATGCCCAGGCACAGCCCAGGGAAACTCAAGGCAGGAGCTACCCGGGGTCATGAAGATGTCCCCATAATGGGCCAGAGTCCTCGGGCTCCTGCTGCCGCTGTTGCTGCTGTTGCTACTGCTGCTGCTGCTGCTGCTGCTATTGCTGCTGCTGCTGCACCAGTCGGGAGTACAGGTCCTGCCCCCCCATGAGCTGGGCTTGCTCCTGCAGCTGCCCCTGCCTCAGTACCAGGATCCGGTCCGCACTCTGAATCGTCTGCATCCGGTGGGCGATCACCAGCACCGTTAGGTCCCCGAGGGCTTTCCAGTCCTGCACCTGGGAGGGGAGGTGTCACCATGTTTAGGAAGAGAGGAACAGGCTGGACACCACAGCCCACTGGGCACCCTCTCTATGGCTTATGGTAAAGACCCCGTTAAACATGAGAAGGCAGGGAAGAGCAGAGGAAGCGCCACACTGCCCTCAGTGCTGTGCAGCCAGATGACGGGCAGGGCAGCCCTGGAGGGAACGCCACACAGGAAAGCTCACCAAGCACCTACTCTCCATCCCATCCCCCACCCTAAGAAGGCGCTGATACTCTGCCCAGCTCCGCACAGGCTCGTCCTTCCAATGTGACCCCTCAGGCGCCTGGCCCTGGCCCTGGCATCCGGTACTCACGGCCTGCTCACACTGCACGTCCAGGGCACTGGTGGCTTCGTCCAGGATGAGGACGCGTGGCTCCCGCACGAGGGCCCGGGCGATGGCCAGTCGTTGTTTCTGCCCCGCAGCCAACAGTTTCCCTCTCTCTCCTACATCTGAGGAAACCAGGGAAATAGCCCTCCTCAGAAACAAGGGGCCACCGCAAAGTCCTGCCCAAGGGCAGGCCGACTCCAAGCCGGTGTCCCCCACACCAGTGAGGAGGTCTGAGGACCTGGGGTAGGGAGGCCAGGCGGCGCCGCTCGGGGTGCTGTGCTGAGGGGGCTGTGCTGCGTCCTGTCTCCAGGAACACAGACCTGGGCGCACCGGAGGCCCAGGAGGCCCAGGTGGCCCAGGAGGCCGCGTGGTGGGGAAGGCCGGCCAGCGGCAGCTGGGGAAGGGCAAGGGAACTCAACCTCACCCCAAGGGTAAGCTCCAGTTTCTTTTTCGACGGGAGGTACCTGTATTTAGGCCGTGCTCCATTTCGTCTATGAACTCATCCGCTCGGGCCGCCCGGATGGCAGCCAGCACCTTCTCCTCGCTGCAGCTCTTCAGCCCGTAGGCGATGTTGTCGCGCACAGACCCTGAGAACAGCACCGGCTCCTGCCCCACCACGGTCACCTGCACAGGGGCGCAGAGACAGTGTGAAACCCCCACCTCACACCCTCCTCGCCTCTCTCCCCCAGGCCTCCACCATCCCCGTGCTCGCTCTCTTCTCCCACTCTCTCTCTCTCTCTGTCTCCGACACACCTGTCGGTGCAGGTAGCAGTGTTCGTACAGGGAGAGGGGCTCCCCATCCAGCAGCACCTGCCCCTCCGTGGGCTGGTACAGATTCTGCAGCAGGGCAGCCACGGTGCTCTTCCCAGACCCGTTGGGCCCCACCAGGGCCGTCACCTCACCAGGTCGCAGGGTGAACGTCAGCCCCTAGAGAAGCCAGGAAAGAGTCAGGAGCCTCCTTCTTCTCCCCTCTCTTTATAGCAGACGGAAGATCAGCTTCTCGGAGGCAAACGCTCCGCTGACCATGGTGCCTGAGCAGCAGGGGTGAGGGGGCCGAGCCTTCACCTCCCAGCGCCCCCGCTCGCCCCCCACCTCCGCAGGCACCTTGAGCACAGGCCGGTCAGGACTATTGGGGTACGCGAAGGTCACTCCCCGGAACTCCACCAGCCCCCGCAGTGTGGAAGGGGCCAGTGTCCCCGGAGGAGGCAGATTTGGCTTTCTGTCCAGATACCGGAAAACCTTCTCCGCGGCCCCCACGTTGCTCAGCATGTCCACACATACGTATACCAGGGTCTGGAGAACAAGAGCAGAACAGGTCCGTCCATCAGCGCCACCGGTACCAGATCCCCACGCTCTACACACAGCCTGGCACACCTCACCCCGCCCACCTCCCCTCCTCCTAAAAAGATTCTCTGCTTTCCAATGTGCGCTTTGGCTGGAATTTAAAAGCAGTGTTCCAATTTACAATGTAAGGGGTGAAGACAACCACGCTCCCCCCACGCAGTGCCCTGACTTCCAGTCACTGTTTTGTGAACTTATGCGGGGTTCTGCCTCCCCTGTAAGACAGGGAGCCCCTTCAAAGCAGGCTCTTTGCATATCTCATCTTTGTAGCCACCAGAGGGCCTAGCACAGCCCTGCACATATAAAAGACATTTTAAAAATATCTAAGAAAATAGGGCCTTCTCTGGTGGCGCAGGCTGTTGAACACAGCGCTGTGAAGCTGACCGCAGCCTCTGCAGCGACAGTTCGATCCAGACCGGCCAGCGAGGGTCCCACATGGCGCTGCAGACCTCTCCTGTGGCTCCAGCTGCTCCCCTCAGCAGTGTATTTCGTCAGTCTGCCTGTTCTGTTCCCTACTCTGTCTCTGGTGAATCCTCTCACCCTCCTGGGCATCTGGCCTGTTCCCCAGTTCTTGTATAAATAAATAAATAAATCTTAAAAAAATTTAAGAAAATAAATCAGGAGAAAGACAAATATGGTGTCGCTCACATGGAGAAACAAAACAAAGGAACTGATTAAACCAAAATGACCCTACAAATACGACTGCAAAATTGGGGCTACTGGAGGGGATGGGAGGGGGTGAGAACAAAGTGGGGGGGGGGCAGGAACGGTCTATGGTAAAGGATCATGTGTGCTTGGATGGTGGGGGTGCTGTGGTGACACACATCTGAGGAGGTGTGAGTCCATTCCCCTAAATCATATACAGCATTGTAAACCAGTGTTGCCTCAATTGACTTCTAAATGAAATACTTCACTATAAAGCTGCTTAAAATAAAGGTCTTCCATTGTAAATAGTGCTGCTATAAACATAGGGGTGCCGGTGCCCTTTGGAATTGATGTTTCTGTGTCCTTTGGGTAAATACCTGGGAGTGGAATTGCTGGATCATATGGAAGCTCTATGTTTAGTAGGTCCAGAAATCTCCACACAGCTCTCCATAGTGGTTGGACCAGTTTGCACTCCCACCAACAGTGCAGAAGAGTCCCTTTTTCTCCACACCCTCGCCAACATTTGTTGTTGCTAGTTTTTTTAATATGTGCCATTCTCACTGGTGTAAGATGGTATCTCATGGTAGTTTTGATTTGCATTTCCCTGATTACAAGTGATGTTGAACATTTTTTCATATGCCTGTTGGCCATTTGCATTTCCTCTTCAGAGAAGTTTCTTTTTTGCTCTTCTGCCATTTTTTGACTGGATTATTTTCTTTGTTGTTGTTGAGTCTCATCAGCTCTTTGCAGATTTTTGTGATTAGTCCTTTATCATTAGTGTTGTGTGCAAAAATGTTCTCCCAGTCGGTGGGGTTTCTCTTTGTTTTGGTTATTGTCTCTTTTGCTGTGCAGAAGCTCTTTAATTTGATGTAGTCCCGGCTGTTGATCTTTGCCTTCACTATCACTGCTCTGGGTGATGTGTCTGTAAAGATGTCTTTGATGTGCATATCATGTAGTGTTTCACCTATATTTCCTTCTATGTATTTTATGGTTTCAGGTCTTATGTCTAGTTCTTCAGTCCATTTTAAGTTGGTCTTTGTGCATGGTGTGAGGTAGTAGCACTATTTACAATAGCTATGCTATGGAAACAATCCAAAGGCCCAAAAATAGATGACTGGATCAAGAAGATGTGGTACATATACACAATGGAATATTACTCAGCAATCAAAAAGATAAACACATGAAGTTTGCAGCAACATGGATGGAGCTGGAAGGGATCATGCTCAGCGAAATAAGCCAGAAAGAAAAATAAAAATACCGGATGGTCTCACTCATAGCAGGAATCTAGAGAACTTAAATAAGAGACCAGGAAAAAGACTAATCAGTACAAAGTAAAAATCAAAATCAACAAGCAACTATAACCAGAGACACACTACAGGATGGGGGGGGGAAGAGGTGGGGAGCAGAAGGACTAGAGTCAAAATAAGGGGGGGTGCAATTGTATGGGGAATATAACCATAATGAAGATGCATACATTGTGCAAAGATGAAAAATGATGTAAGAATTATATAAAATAAAATATTTTTTAAAAAAAATGAAGGTCTTCCAGAAGCCATCCGCACAATTTTCCACTTAACCAGGAAATACTTCCTTCTAAATGCACAAAATCATGTTGGTGTATTCTATAGGGGTTTACACTGATTAATAAATATATCTGAAACTTGGGGGGATCAAAATAAATAAATAAATAAAAATAAATATATCTAAGAAAGTCACAAAATAAATCCAAGATAAAGCAACTACTTAATTTTGAAAACTGGTAAATACAAGGAAGGAAATAAATGTTCATTCTATCTTTCCTAATCAAATTGTACCACCAGGTAACCAAACAGCAGAAGAGGGGAAGTCTCCCTTGAGAGGTACATTCCAGCTGATCAAGGAAGGAAATGGACCACTCTGATGATGTAATGGGCCTAGGCACCAAGTCCCAGTGCTGATGCTTCTCCTGCGCCTGTAGGCAGACACAGGTACACAGATACATAGGTACAGGAGAGAGAAGCATACTACACGTATGCTTGCATTACATGTGTGAATGAGACAAGGGGAAATTTGACCACTGATTGTATCTGATTAATTTTAGAAATTATTGTTATGTTCTGGGCTTTATGTTGTTGTTATGTTGTTGTTTGTTAAGATTTATTTTTATTCATTTGTATATACAGCAACTGCGGTATAGGCAAGAGGTGCGGGGAATGAGAGCATTCACCACAGACAGAGTGGGGAGCAGTAGAGATGGATCTGCTGAAATGCGCTGCTGAGGGGAGCAGAGGGCAAGACAGGAGAGGTCTGCTGTGCCATGTGGGTCAGCTCCCTGACTGGGGATCAAACTTGAGCTTCAGTGGCTGGCTATTGCTTGATAGCGCTGAGATTTTTACCTCTGCACCGCCAGGGAGTTCCCTTTATGGTTTTTCTAATGTTTATATCTTAAAGATCCATACTGAAATATTTACATAGAACACTACGTCTCCACTCTGCTTCTAAAAAAATATGTGTGAGGGAAGTAGGTGGAGATACAGATGAAACAGGTTAGCCAAGAGCCACTAATTGTCAAAGCAGGTGATGCAGGTTTGTTATAGTTTATCTTTGGGGAGGTGGGGGCATGTATTTGAAATTCTTCATAACAAAATGAGTTGGGTTTTTTGTTCTTAAGGAGAACAAAAAAAGCCCAAGTTTCAGAAGATCAGAAAGAAATCGGGGGGTGGGGAGAGTCAGGGAGAGAGGAGCAGGCATTGCCCGCTGACTCACCTGCACATACTGGCCCACGTTCTCTTGGTAGAGCAGAAAGGAGAGCAGCCCGCCCCGGGAGAGGGACCCGCCCAGGATCTGCTGCAGCCCACAGTTCAGCATAAGCACCTGCACACCCAATTGCAGCATCTGGAAGGGAGAAGATGGGTGAGTGTGGGAAAAGGGTCTCCCCCTTTCTTCCCCTTTCTGCCCCATGACACTGAGCAACAGGAGTAGCGTCAGGCTTTCTGCCCCCTCCCGGAGCCTACCCACAAGCCACTCAGGCCCTCACCCTGCTAAAGAGCAGGTAGATGGCCCGTTCCAGGTCTCTGCGCCACCTCAGCTGCCGGCATCGTTCAAGGGCCTCCTTATAGTGGCAGACCTCCTGCTCCTCCGCCCCAAAGCTGCGCACAGTGGGCAGCCCTCCGACGGCCTCCCGCACCACCTGCCCTGCCTTGGCCACTGCATCCTGGATCTCCAGAAGCACCACCTGGAAAAGCACAGCAGAGATGGGAGGAGTTGATTGGTCAGAGGCAGCAGAACCCCATGTCACATTCCAGTCGTTGGGGTGCTCCCCCATTTTCCCTAAACAATACCAAACTGTCCTCTTTCCCTCTTCCTTACATTGCTTTCTAGAAGGACTAATGAGTGTGAAGGAGGGTGGGAACAAAATATGGCAGAGCTCTCGGTGCTTTTGCTTAAACCTTCATTTGAAGTGAATCACACCTCTCCTGCTATGTGAATGAAGAAGTAAGTGTTTTCCAGAAGCCACAGCTAGTTAGAGAAGGTGGAGATATTCTTCAACGTGGATCAAAGATGTAAACAAGAAAGCTAAAACCATCAAACCCTTAGAAGAAAATACACAGAGATGTTTCTGACACTAATTTGGTAATGATTTCTGAGCCTTCTGACGCTCATTTTGGTATTGATTTCTTAGATATGACACCAAAAGGAAAAGCTACCAAAAATGAAATTCGATTTGCCAAAATTAAAAACTTTTGTGTATCAAAATGGTATCAACAGAGTGAAAAACGAAACCCACAAAATGGGAGAAATATTTGCAAACCATACATCTGATGAAGTATTAATATCAAGAATACATAAAGAATTCCTACAACCCAACAATTAAAAAGCAATGTAATTTAAAATTGAGCCAGGATTTGAATGTGTTTCTCCCAAAAAAAAAAAATGAAAAAAGGCCAATAAGCACATGAAAAGAATCCCAGTATCACACAGCTTCAGGGAAATGTAAATCAAAACCATGATGACATATCACCTCACAACCATTATGTCTGTAATGGAACACACAAACACACAGAAAATGACAAGTTTTGAAGAAGGGTATAGAGAAAGTGAAGTGAGTGTGTATTGCTGGTGGGAATGTAAAATGGTGTTGCCACTATGGAAAACAATATGGGGATTCAAAAAACTTAAAGTTACCATATGAATTCTACTTCTGGGTATAGACCCAAAACTATGAAAGAAAAAAATCAAACAGATATCTGTGTAGTCATGTTCACAGAAACATTAGTCACAACCGTCAAGTGTTCACCCACAGGTGAATGGTTAAATGAGGTCTATGTATCAATGGAATGGTAGTCAGCCCTAAAAAAGAAACATCTGACCCACAGATGAATCTTGAAGACAGTATGCTAAGTGAGACAAGCCAGCCACAAAAGGGCAGATACTATAAGAGGAACCTGGAAGAGCCAAATTCACAAAGGCAGATAGTACAGGGAGACTACAGGCCTGAGGGAGGGGGAAATGGAGACTCAGTATTTAACTAGCTGGGGGCTCAGTATGGAAAGTTCTGGAGGGAACTGTGGTGGTGGCAGCACAACACCATGAACATTCTTACCACCAGTGAACGGCACTTAAACATGGTGAAAAAGGTAAGCTTTAAGCTTTATATAAATATAATGATATAAATATAATTTTACAAAATTAAAAGAAGGTGGAGCTGACATTCCGACTCAGGATTCCTGTCAGTTTACCTCCCCTGCACACCGTTCATACTCCTTCCGTTGATGATAAAGGGGATCAGTCTCTACCTAAAATCCTCTAAGATGACTTTCCTAATCATTTGTGGATTCTTTACAGAAAAATGTGCTTGCATTCTGTCTCTCTCTCCACACACACACACACACACACACACACGCCTGGGGGGTGAGGATCTTGGACCTCTGCAGCCTGTCAGAACTGCTGCTCTAAGGACTGAAAAGAGAAGACCCTCAGGGGAGCTTGATTCTTCCAGGGACTCCCCGCCATCCACATATACCTGATAGCGGAGGTTGTACACCTTTTTGGCCGCAATGGTGAGAGGCACATCCAGCAGAGACAGGAGGGTGAGGCGGGGAGACAGGCTGAGCATGAAGCTGTACAGTCCCACCACTTTGACCAGGCTCCGCAAGAACACGTTGGCATTCAGGGGTAGCCAGCGGCTCATCAGGGTGGTGTCCGAGTTCATCCTGGAATTCAGCTCCCCTGGGGAGGACAGAACAGGTGAGGAAGCCCTGTGTAGTGCCAAAGCCCCAGAAACTCTCCCCTGACCTTTCCCTCTGATAGCCCCCTCTTCCAGGTGCCTCCCTCCTCCAAGGGCCTCCCTCACCCACGGAGAGAGCCAGGGGGTGCCTCACTGCCCTGCCCCTCAGACAGAAAGGCCGAGCAAGCAGGCGCCCGGGGGGGGGGGGGGCAGAGGTTGTGTGCAGGTGAGGGGAACTTGCAGGGAATGTCCAGGGAACCCCAGACTTGGACTCCACACCACCTGTCTTCGTCTCCTGGAAGAACCCGAGGTCCTGGCGTAGAAGGGAGGAGAAAAGCTGCTCCCGGATCCGCAGGTTGATGTTGGACATGGTGTAGAGGAAGGAGCCTCCACGGCACCCAGCACACAGCGCGCTGAGGGGCGGGGGGTACAACAGGTGAGAGGAGGAGAAACATGCAGTGACGGAGGGAATGGGGGAGCGCAGAGAAGACATGGGATGAAATAAATGCACAGCTGGAGAACCATGTAGGGGCGGAAAGAAAAAATAAGATGGAGGGGGACAAGCAGGGCAGGAATAAACCAAGGACCTGGTGAGCTAGTGTGGGGACAAGATCACAACATGCAAATCCAGGGGTGTTGGTGGGGTTCACTCTGTGGGAGGTCCAGTAGAGGACAAACAGAGAGAGAAGGTGTGGCTTCCGACCTGACCTGCCTGCTTTCCCGCTAGGTCCCCCTCTGCCTCAGTCTCTTTCCTCCCTGTCCTCAAAGTGCCTCTTCCTGGCCCCAGATACTGCGTGGCAGGGACCACAGCCATGACCCCCTGTCCTCACATTCTCCGGAGCCCCAGAGTTTCGCTGCCCTCCCTTCGCTCTCCTCCCTGGAGTTCGAAAATTCCTCTTACACCAGCCAAACTTATCATAAGACAAGGAAACATCAAGGGGGAAAGCAGATATTTTACAAAATATGGATTCCTAACACAAATTTAATTGTTGTGGTGAGGAGGCTGTTGGGACAGCTGGACGTGAAATGATGAGGGTTTGGCCGTGAGCACAGTGAGGATGGAGACAAAGGAGCTGCAGCTGAAACACTCTGAAAGTAGATATGACAGGGCAAGAGCATGAGAGAGGCAGCACGGGTGCTGCCGCCTGGGGCCTGGGATACCATGGTTCATGAGTGCGAACAAGAAGAGAAGACATAGGCCTTCCCAGTGGTGCAACGGGTTGAGCACAGCGCCATGAAGCTATCCACAGCCTCTGCACCGTGGGTTCGATTCCCAGCCAGCCAGGGAGATACCCACATGGTGCAGCAGACCTCTCCTGTCTCGCCTGCTACTCCCCTCAGCAGTGTATTTTGGTCAGTCTGCCTGTTCTGTTCCCCACTCTGTCTCTGGTGAATTCTCTCCTCCCCTCATTTCTGGCCTGTATCCCAGTTCTTGTATTAATAAATAAATCTTAAAAAAAAAAAAAAAAAGAAGAAAGAAGAGAAGACAGGGAGGATCATGAGGTTTTACAGCCCTGGGCATGTGGAGTGTGAAATGAGAGAGGCTGTCGATGGGCAAGTGAGGGGGCAAGAGGTTACAAGACTGCTGCTGACACAGGGGTCACCTACAGAGAGGGGCTGAGTTAGCACAGGGTAGTGATGTTCTCAAAGTCTAAAGAACTGATTTGTAAGGAAAGTTCTTTAAGGGTCCAGAGTAGGTAGAGAGGATTGAGAAGAAGAGAGATGTAAAAGCTCACTGAAGCAAGAGATCAATAATAGTTTATTCAAATGACAAATACTGCAGAAAAGCAAAGAGAACTGAGAACTGATTTTTTGAAAGCATGGACTGATCAATAAATGTACCTTTGAGTGACCGATGGCAGCCAAGAACTGCAAGTACAGAATGAAGGTGTGAGGAAGAAGTGGTTTGGGGCATTCTAAATGAAGTCTGACCATAATAAAGGTGTATTATGGGGAGGGGGTACCACGGGAAGGAGAGTGAGGTATGAGTATAAGCTTGGGAGCGAGCACCTCCTTAAATTTTGCACCCAAAGTGCATCCCATTCCAGTCCTGGCAAATAAGAGAAAAAGAATGAATATGCTTGGGGGGAAAAAAATGATAACCTTCAGAGTAAGATCTTCATCCACTGACAAGATGAGTTAGGAGGAAGGGTCAGGAGGAAGAAACAGGCCAGCCTGACTTGGGAAACAAAGCTGGGTGGGAGGTAAGAGACAGGAAAGAGAAATGGGGGTTAAAGAAGACAGCAATGTCGAGAGACAGCAAAGAGATATTCCACGTGACACCCAAACCCCCTCTCTTACAACCGCTCATGCTTCCATCTACAGTAATAGAATGTAAACTCTGCAGATGTTGGATAAATATGGTGAAATGAGGAATGAATGAAGTGATGTGAAAATAGAATGAGTAACTAAATCCATGCATATTTAAGTCTAAGTATTGGGTGCTTTGTGCACAAAAGGGCCTGAAAACAGAGGTAGGAAAGTGAGGGTCCTTGGAAAGGGGGCTAGCAAAGGACCCAATGGCCCGTCACCTACCTCCCAAAGGAGAAGACACACATGAAAAAGATGGCACTGGCAAAAGCATCAGGGTCAAAGTCACCTCCCAGGATGTCAATCACACGACCAGAATAGTGTGGGATTGATGTCTCACCTGAAAGAGGCGGGAGGATACAGTTGAAGGCATCGTGCAAAGGGTCTTTGCCCACCTTCTAGTCTCCATGCCTCTCTTGACTCACCCAGCACCGCAAGAACAAGGAAGATGAAGGCCACGATGAGGAAAGGCAGGTCTGGCCTGGAGAGCCGCAGCAGCCTCCACATCAAGGCTTTGCTGTTCTCCAGGCCCTGGTCTCCCTTCTGGGCTGCGGGAAGGCTCAGCACAGCCCACACGGCCCAGCCTAGCCCCGCAGCCCCGTACCCCAGCAGCAGCCAGCTCCAAGAGGCAGAGGCCACTCTGGCGGGGGTAGCGCTCAAGGCCCCAGGGACCAGCGCCCTCAGGGAGAGAAACAGGGGGGTCACCAGGCACAGGGGGGGCAGCAGAGCCCCCAGGCATCCCAGCAGCCCTCCCAGCGTCAGCAGCCACCACAGCCCTCCGAGTCGCAGCGCCCCCTCCAGCCATAGGCCTGGAAGGCCCCTGGGCAGCAGAGACCCCAGAGACCCCTGGAGCAGCCAGAGTAAGGCCAGATCGGCCAGCAGCAGGGAGGCCCAGGGTGTCAGGTCTGGGAGCCGCATGGCGTTACCTGCGGGTGGAAAGTGAGGTATTGGCGAGGCGGAGCCCCAGGCCCTGTCCCCAACTTCGCCACCCTAACTCCACCCATCCCGTCCGTAGGTTCTCACTGTATCCAATCCTGCCCAGAAAGATACCCTGGGGGCCCGCGCGCCCCAGCACCTCCCTCCTACAGCGGCGGGCATGCTGCGGCTGGGGCGCCGAGGAGCCCGGCCGCGGGTCCCCCGTCCTTTTTAACCCCTTGCTCCCGCTGCCGGCGAGCTCCCAGGGGCCCGGCGCCGCCTGCCCGGCTCCCTGGCCCCCCACGGCCCCTCGTGACCCGACGCGGGGGCACGGCGTGGGCAGGGGAGAGCCGCAGCCCGCTGGAAGGTGGGCAAAGACCCCCGGCCCGGCGGCTCCAGCTGCGTCCTCCCGCCTCGCCCAGGTGCGACATCAGCCACTCACCCGCCGCGGCTCCGGGTCCTCCGGCTAAAAGCTGAGGGCGAAGCGCTGGAAGCGCCCGCGCCGCCTCGGCTCCACTTCCCCTGCCCAGGCTTTCGCTTTCGCTTCCTGGCAACGCCTGATTCCAGGCGCGGCCAGAGCAGGGGCGCGACACCCGCAGAAGCAGAAACCGATCCCAGCTCCTGGGACCCGAGCCAGGCCCCCTGTGAGTCACGAGCCTTTGGCAACACTTACTCTGTAATAGGAAACTCCTGAGGTTTCGAAAAATTGCTGAAGTTCTTTCATAAGCTGGCATGCGTTGTAATCGAAGAAACAGTGAACTTTCTTTAAAAAAAAAAAAAGATTTATTTATTTATGCAAGAACTGGGGTACAGGCCACAGGCGCCGGAGGGTGAGAGGATTCACCAGAGACAGAGTGGGGAACAGAACAGGCAGACGGGCTGAAAATACTGATGAGGGGAGCTGCGGGCAAGACAGGAGAGGTCTGCTGCGCCAGGTGGGTATCTCCCTGGCCGGCTGGGAATCGAACTCGTGCTTCAGAGGCTGCAGACATCTTCACAGCGCTGAGCCACCAGGGAGGCCCAGCAGTGAATTTTCTTATCTCGGACTCTGAACCTGTTTTTAGAAAACTGTCTGCCCTCTTCCCCCATTTGCAGGGTCTTGGGGTAAAAACAGATCCCCATTCTGAGCAAAATACACAAAGCACATCTCCTAAATAGAAATCGCTAGCACCTCTCACCTAAGTGGGTTTCCACGTGGAGATTGGCACCTGAGAAGGCCCTGACCCTTCTCAACTCCACACCCTGGGCAGAGCACACCTTCATATGCCTCAAAAGTTACGTTCCACTATATGTTGGGAGGCCTTCAACATAAGAGGGAAGTGGACTTTGTTTCTTGGTCTATTTTATCATTAATGAGAACAGTAAGTAAGTTTCTATAGGTCCTACCCTACCGAAGCCTATCCCTGAAACTTGAACATTTGTTTATTCCAAAAATATTTCTGCAGGTTTAAACTATCCCCCAAACTCAAAACATCCCCAAAGGAAGGACCACTTGAATTCCAAACCATTCCTGAATGCTATTGGTGTGATTACCAATAAGTTATTTCAACTTTAAATATAATTGAGGGTGGGAAATGGAGTTTGAAGTAGGGGATTCCTAAAGTTTCCCCAACCCTGTCCATCCTGGGATTTTGAAGATCTCTTCCTACTTTCAAACTTAACCTCTCCTTAACTGAACTTAACTCTCCTCTGGTGACCACCCATGCTCCTTCCTATAGTCCCAACACCATTCATAAAATCGCACTATGTCTGTCTCACTTTCTAAGCTGGTTACATTTTCTGCTCTCACCCACCTTATGGGTTTTCCTTATCACCTGTCTCTTTGGTCATGACCCTGTCATCTTCCGTTGAGCATGCCACAGGGTAACACTGAACCTCTAACATCCATCTTTACATTCAATATCCAGTCTGTCCTGAATGTTAAGGTAAATGGTCCTGTGTTTATAATTACCACACACATATGTGTTGGAAGCTTTTTCATCCAACTCTACAAACTGAAAAGCAACTGTTCCAGGTGGCCTACTTTCCAACACCCAAACCATTACCAATGAACCATGGGGCAGTCTCCAGCTCATATCCCCACAGGAAGGGCCCCAATATTAAACTGCAATAATAAACAAGCAACCACAGTCAGTCTTCCTGAGATCCTGGAGAGATGAGTGTGGAAAGGAAACCCAGAGAAATAGTCAGTAAGGCCCTGTTTCTTAGTGAGGATTTTGAGTCTTCTCAAGAAAACCTTCTCTATTTCCTGCCCCCTCCCCAACAACCACAGCCCAAGTCCACTAAGCCACAGCAGAGACATTTATAACTGTTTTTCCTTTATTATGCTTTGTGGAGTCCCCAGAAGGTAAAGGGAGGTCTTTCTGGAAATAGAGAACACAAAAAACAATAAGCTCCTCCCAGCATCTCTGGCAGCTGGTCCTCCATCTCTGGGCTCAGGCGAGGCCCTTCCTCCCCTGGGGCATAAGCTGGCCCAGGCCCCTGAGTTGACCAGCTTTCCCTTACTGGCAGCCACCACCGATACTGAAGGGCCTCCCGGTACTGGTGCATAAGGTCACTGACGTGTGTGCTTTCCAGCTTCACCCAGCCATCTTCCTTCATGTGGTACCCTGTAGGCAAAGGAGAAAGGACATGGAGTCACCATTGTCTTCACACTCTGAATGCCCCTCTTCTGATTCTGAAACATCCCTCACACACACACTCTGCCTCCCCTGAGTCTCCCACCCACAAAACTATTGCCTACCCCCAGGAAGTGTTCATTCTTGCTATTGACAACACCTCCAGAATAGTTGTCTTGGTGGATGGCATGAACAATAGCCCTGCGGCCCAATTCATAGACCTCTTTGGGGCTGAGATCTGGCCAACAGCCACTGTCCATTGCTGCAAGGGGTCTTGTTGCCCCAGCCACATAAGACACTGGCAAGCAGCTAAGAAAAACGGCCTCACACCATGGGGCTGAAGCTAAAGGGCCTCACACCGTGGGGCTGAAGATTCCTTGTGCCTCACACCGTGGGGCTAAAGATCTAACATCCCTTCATTTTTTGTTCTTGGTCATAGAGAAAAATTTCTCAAAAAGTACATTAGGCAATAAATTACATGTATCAGCATACTGCAAGTAAATGGCATGGAAAATTATCTGTTTAGAAAATTAGTTATTAAACAATTTGGCCCACTTGACAATGGGAGACAATTTATTGTACATATCTGACAAGCAATCCAGCACAGCTATTGTAGTAAGTCCTTCTTTTGCTTTTTTAGAAGTTTCTTAGGAAAGTTTTTAAATGAAATTAATTGTGTTAAGGAGTTTCTAGGTAGAAAAAGTTCTGATAGCTGAGTAGCAGCTGGTCTCCAGCTGAAGGCCGTATGAATAGAAGAGTCTTTTGATGCTTAGGCTTTATCTGATAGGGATGCACTGGCGGCTATCCACTGTCTTAGGTAATTGTCTAGCTGAAAGAATAAGTTTTAGTGTAAGGTTTGGTTTTTTATCTATTAACCTTGAAGGCTACTGTCTAACTGGAGCCAGTAGTCCATGGGAATAAAATACACTAATTGCTTCTGCTTTACACATGATGATGTAATTTCTCTGCTTGCTAAAAATGAATAAATAGAGACCTGCTGGGTCTCTCGGCAGAAGATCCTTGCGCCTCATCCAGTTTCAGTGTCTCCTCACTACCTCATCCCCTTTCCCTCAGCCCCTTTTGCTTCACCTAGGCCGTCTCCTCCTTTCAGAGACTCCTGACATGACATTTTGCTGAAAGCTGGTCTCTAGCAGTCCATGACCCCATAGGCAAAGGACCGGACACTGCCCGTGGAGAACATACTTCCTGAGAGCCGGGTCCCATTTTCATCTACATAGTAGAGTCCAGGGCCTTGTGGAGGAGAGAAGGTTCCAGGTTGGAACAGAGAGGGCGTCGTTAGTAACACACAAGCTTAAGTGTGAGGCATGAAAAGTGGACAAAAGAATAAGAATTACCAGGAACATCTGGACTAGGACAACACTGTGGTAGCACTATAGAACTTTAGGAATAAAAGGAAAAACAAACTTGGAATCAGCCTTTTTAAAAGAGACAAGCTTGTGAAATACATATAGTGGTCCATCTCTAAACCTAGAGCCAGCCTGTGGATCTGCAGAACATTCCATAGCCCAGCATTCTCTATGCCATGATCTTGTAGGGGAGGAGGGGAGAGTGTATAATGGGGAAAGAAATCTCATCCAGGGTTGGGGCATGGAGAGCACCCACCTTCTTGTTCCAGCCACAGGTCATACTACCCATGCAGAAGCCTATGCCCCAGTACTAACACATCATGTTGGAGAGCAGTTTGGAGGCTGCTGACACTGAGATCCGCTCCCCATTCCGCAGATAGTAGAGCCTGGTGAGGATAGCGTTAGGGGAGAGAGAACTCAGTGGTGGCAGGAAAAGGCTAGGCCTCTGACGGACCCACGTGATGGGCAGGAAATGATTGACAAGATACACACTCAAAAGGAATGGTTTTATCAAATCTAATAATCAGGAAGGGATTTGGGATTTAAATATCTAAACCACATATAGAAATCTTAGTAAATGATACTATCCCACCAAGACTGATTATTAAATTATTAAATTATCTGGCTTATTGACAGATGCACAGAAAGATTTGAAAAACACTTTATTCATCACCAAAACATTGGCACTAAGGTGTCCCATGATCATGGGATGTGGCGGGGGTGTGTGTGATTTGAAGGATCCAGGATGGAGGATGGGACGGACCAGTAGATTTAGAAGGGAGATGAGAGTCCTGGCCTACCTGCACTCCTTGGCCAACAGCCGCTCCCAGTACTGACAGTCTGCCGCAGAGCCAGACATGGTGCCAAGCAGGTAAGGGTTAATCTCAATCACCTTGTTCACTCTTAAGTTAGCTGGAAGAAGATGGAGTTTTGAGAGAGAAGGAATGACCACACAGCCCTCCCTGGGTGTTCTAAATCAATGTCCATATGCACTTTGCTGCGCCAGATTCTACTATGGGACACACACTCACCAATGTACACTGCCCGGCCCTGGCCCAGGAATCCACGGCCACAATCACTCCATGCTGGCCAGAGTGGTGGTGCCATGAACCATCTCCATTCCTGGCCAGGGTCTGGAAGAATTTGGTGGGCTAATGAGAGAGAAGAGGCAGAAGAAAGGACAATGAAACCTTCTGCAGGAGGCTCCAGAGCAGAGACTTAGAGAGTGTGGAGTGAGGAGATCAGAAATTCTCCAGCCATCAACAATGGAACAGTTTATAACCAACCTCTACAAGGAAGTGACATGGGAGAAAGAAGAGAAAATCTGCAGAAAACTTTTCCATTTTCCAAGGCAATAGAAACGAGAGGAAATAATTGCCTTAACTAACGTTTTAAGGATTCATTCCCATTCATAGAATGGAATTAACCCTCAGAAAGCATGTTTCTTAGTAGTATCCCCATTTTGCAGAACAGAGATTGAGACCTCCATGGAGTCACTAGTCTCAGGACACACAGCAGTGAGTGGCTGAGGCCAGGCTTACAACCAACATTCATAGGTTTTTCAGAACACTCCACT